AAAAAAAAAATTTGGGAAAGAATTTAATTTCCTTCTGAGAAACTCGAATGTGTAACTCAAGCAGGATAACAGAGAGGAGCTCATTATCCCTAGTGGAATTAAGAGGCTGCTCCCCAGCGGCCCTGCTGGGCCAGCGCCCCACCCTGGCTTACCTTAAAGAGGCAGCCTGCTCCCTGAGAGTTTCAGAACTGTTTGCTCCTTCAGAAGTTTTAAGGCAAAGCGACCAAAATCCATCTATTGGTCTCGCTCTTATCTACTGCTTTTAAAAAGTGACCAATATGAGCCACACCATGGGACTCCCCAAAGTAAATGTTCCTCCAGAGGAGGAGACGGAAACTGCTGCTTTCTTGTAAGAGAAATTGTATACTGGGGCCAGATTGTTGAAGGCAGCTTGGGAATCAGGGAGAAAGAGAGAGAAGGGAGGCGTCAGAGGTGGTGGGGAGGTGGAGGCGGGCGCTCAGAGGAGGAGGGGTGAGGAAGGGAGCTGCAAGGCAACGCAAGGTGCCACAGGAGTCTGCTCTGAGGCTGGCAGCCACCTCCTCACAGGAGGGTATCCAGGAACTGGCTCCCGGGAGCATTGGTCTGAAGCTGACAGGGCTGTGGGCCCACCCACAGTTTTATTTAAATGCCTACCCAACTATGGCCCCTCCGGTCTTATTTAAGACAAAAAGCAAGACATCTAAAAGTTATTCAAAGTCAGTTGAAAACTGAACCATATTAAAGTAGATCTTGTCAACCGGACCAACCGTGAACAATTCAAAATGTAGGAAAAGAGTGAAATACAGCAAGTGTGACTAGAATGTAGAGAAGCTGGATCCGTCATATGTTGCTGGTGGGAATGTCTAATGGTGCTCACTAGGGAAAAGGGTTGAGCTATTTCTCAAAACGCTAACCACAGAATTACCACATGACCTAGCAATTCTACTCCCACATGCAAAGCTAAAAGACCTGAAAACGGGTTCCACAGATACCCGCAGCCAGTGCTGACGGTAGCATTATCCCAATAACTATCTGGTGGAAACACCCCTGTGTCTACCGACAGAGGGGTAAAGAAGCCAACAGGGTCTATCTGTACAGTGGCATATTATGCAGTCAGAGGAAAGGAAGCTAAGTTTTGACACATGCTACAACATGGATGAAATGTGCCAAATGGAGGAAGCCAGAAACACACACATAGTATATGATTTCTTTTGCATAGGACTCGTTGCCTGGGCAAATGGGACAGAATAAAAAGTAACAGAGGTTACCAGGGTGGGTGGGGTGAGTGAGGAGTTATTATCTAATGGCTACCAAGTTCCTGTTTGGTTCACTGAAAAGGTACTAGAAATGGATAGTGGTTTTGGCCACCATATTGTGAAGGTACTTTAACGCCCCTGTGGTGTATAAACGTGGTTAGATTGGAGAACTTTTTGTTCCGTGTATTTTACCACAACAAAACAGCATTCCAAAAATAATTTTATCTTCAGTCAAAAAAAAAAAGGGGGTTGAATGAAACACAGAATAATCTACCATGACTTTGAGAACACCTGAGCATAGACTTCCCTTGCCAAAACCATCAGGGTATAGGAGCCACATCACACCCTCCCCCGTGCAGGCCGGATTCGAGGAGCTCTGGCTGAGCAGAGGACGCAAACACATAAGGACACTTATTCTCGAGGAAAAAAGATGGGTGTACCGACAGCAGCCCCCATGGATACGAAACCTCCCCTGTGAGGGGGCCTCACACTGCCCACCCAGCACTGCGGGAGATTCAGGAAGCCTTACTTACCCTGAATGTCTGCTCCAGCCTCTCCCTATGTGGGACCTGGTCCAGGGTTCCATCCGTCTGACTTCTTTTCAGCCCAGTCATGACATCGGGCACGTTGCTGAAATCTGCGTGAAAAGTGCCAGAAACGTGAATCTCACCATTTGCAGAGAATAGTCTTGACAGTTTAAAGACACAGAATGAGAGGAAAGAAAAATCACAGGGCACCTGAGAGAGGTCCTCAAGGACAGTGAGGTTACAGTGTTCAGGTCTGTCATCTGGAATCAGCAGGCCCTCGCCCCTGAGAAGCCACTTTTCTGTTTTGGTCAGATGACCACCGCCACCAAACCAGTGATGTAATGCCTCGTGGGTCAGACTGCACTTGTGTGGGCTTAACTTACTGGGATCAAGGATAACCGGTGGTGGCATTTCCAGTTTGTGGCTAAATGAGGGCAAAATCACCGAGGCCATCTTGGAAAAAATCAATGATATATCATTAACTCTTATGCTAACCCACAACCTGCTCAGTTGCGAGCATAATCCTGGCACCGATCACAATTTGGTCCTAAAATGAAAGTCCCAGGAGGTACAGAAAACCCCTCAACTTCAAAGTAAGGATAAGAAACTCATCCAGGCTCTGTATCTGCAGGTTCTGCAGCCCTGGAGTAACTTAGGATGAAAACTACTATGTTAATAGTTGACAATGGTTATATCTGTACCGAACACATATAGATTTGCCCCCTCCTCATTATTCCCTAAATATATAACATAAGAACAATGTACATAGCATTTAAACTGTATTAAGTAGACCCGAGGCCAGTTACAGTACACGAGAGAGTGTAGACATGTGCCTAACATGCCATTTTATAGAAGGGACGTGCACTCAAGTCCGGGACTGTCACAGCGACAATGAGGAGCCTCCCAGCCAGTGGGTGGCGGTCACAGCCAACTTGATGGGAGAAGGCGGTGCTTTCCAGACTCCACCCCCTGAGCAGGGCTGGTGGGAATGAGGGGCAAAGCCGATGCTTTTACCAGTTAAACAAGGAGCTGGGGGCAGTTAAATCCCTGGGGAAGCGAGGTCTCAGTGGGGAAGATACAGGCTCGCCACATGTAGCTTCGATTGGGCTGCTGCTTCTCAGTGGACACTACCTGAAGCAGGACAGGTGTTGTGCCACAAGTCAGCCTGTGAATACCACCT